CCAGCAGCACGCCTCCAGCGGCGAGCAAACCACTCGCGCAGCTCCTGTGGAGAGAGCGGCTCCCGTCGAGACTGAAGAACCGGAGAGCCCCCAGGTCCAGCAGGCGCAGGCTCCGCACCTCCATGCCCAGCACCCCCAGGCTCAGCAGCTCCTGACGTAGCACCCTCCGGCTCAGCACCCCCCGGCTCAGCACCCCCAGACTCAGCACCCCCCGGCCTCGCACCCCCAGGCTCAGCACCCCCAGCAGCAGCACCCCCAGGCTCAGCACCCGCAGCAGGACCAGACTCAGCAGCAACCTCGACTGGCCCGACCGTGTCTACCTGGGACACACCTTAAGGGGCAGGAACCTGAGGGGGGAGGGGGTCTACCGGGGGGGGAACTGGTACCAGGAAGTCCAGTGGGGGGGGGAGGGAAGGAGTACGGTAGGGGAAGTGGCGGTAGAAGGGGACTGACTCGTCGAACGTGACGTCCTGGGAGGACAGAACACGACGAGAGGAGGTGTGGTAGAACTGCCACCCTGGAGCGTCAGGGGGGAAGCCAAGGAAGACACAGGGAGCAGCACGGGGGGACAGCTTGTCCGCAGACAAGTCGCGGACAAACGCCCGAGATCCCCAGACACGTAACGCAGACGCATCGCCGACCTTCCCCGTCCACAGTAACACTGGGGACATCGCGGGCCGAGAGACCCTGGGGTGAAGGTTGAGCTGATGCGCCGCGTACCGAACCGCAAACGGCCACAGAAAGTGGGGGGCAGCCGCATGCATCATGGACGTACGAGCGACATCCATGACCATGCCAATGCGGCGCTCAGCAATCCCATTTTGCTGTGGAGAGTCCGGAAGCGTAAAGGTCTGGCGGATCCCCTGTGCACGACAGTAGGCTCGCAGAAGGCGAGAGGAGAACTCCCCACCGCGGTCAGAGTGCAGACGCAGAACAGGAAAGTCCGAGCCGAAGCTCCTCCTGAGCTGGAGACGAGCCTCGCGGATCCAGTCGATCAGCACCTCAGTGACAGCACCCTTGCTGCGCAAGGGGAAGACTGAGGTGTAACGCGAGTAGTCGTCAACCACCAACAGGAAGTAGCGCTCGTGACCCTGCCCACGGACGCAGGCCGGGCCCCACACGTCCATGTGAAGCGTCTGCAGAGGAGCCTCTGTCGGGGGAAACTGGGAGGAGTGAGGAGCAGCCCTGAGGCGCCCCTCGACACAGGGGACACAGGAAGGTCCTGGTCCCGAAGGAAGGGGAGGGAGAGACTGGGGAAGACCAGAGAGAAGGACACGGGAAGCCATGCCCCGAAGACGGGGCAAGGAGGGGTGGCCTAGACGGTGGTGCCACACGAGAGTCTCGTGAGACAGGAGGCGACACGAACAGGGGGCAGACTCAGGACCAGACCTGGACGCAGCAGCAAACACCTGACCCGACGCTGCTACCTGACCGGACGCGGGGACAGGAGGAGACTCAGTGGTCAGGGTGTAGAGGCTCGACCCCGGCCGACGCGAGAACGTGGCCAGGTGCCGGCCTGTGCGTGCGTCCGTGGAGTGGGTCACCCGCTGACTCGCAGGAGTGAACTGGTGAACCCCCGCATCCTGTAGGTCTGCACCACTCACCAAGTTCGTCGAGAACGAGGGGAGGTACAGGCCAGACAGGGTGCCCGAGGGGGCAGCCGGACACGGGAGGACAGTGGAAAAGTGAGCGAGGACAGGACCCCCAGAGGGGTTAGCCAGGGAGACTGCAACCGGCCGACCAAGCGGCGTGAGTGTGGTGCGGTCCCGAAAGAAGGAGCGAGAAGCCCCAGAGTCAAGTGTAAAGGTGAGGGAGGCCGAAGCCAACGCGGTACCTGAGAGCGCAGCCTCACCCGCACCTGAGGAAGCAGAATCACTAGCACCTAGAGCAGCAGCCGCACCTGTACCTGGAGCAGGAGACTCACGAGCACCCAGAGCAGCAGCCTCACCAGTAGCTAGAGCAGCAGGTCCTATACCTGGGTCAGGCGGGACGCACAGGTGACCGGCACGGTCAGCACTAGTAGGCAATGCATACATGGCAGTGAGAATAGCATCATAGTCAAGAGCATATATATCGACCCTCTGCCTAAGCAACTCCACCCAGTCGGGAAGCTCAGCCTCGTCGCCAAACACGGTACGCCAGGCGTCGCTCAGACGGGCGAAGCAGCGGGACGGTGTATGACTACGTGTCCCACAAGGCTGACCAGTCCGAGTACCAGTGCGTATCACGTAAGAGCAGCGAACAGCACTGAGAGACCCTCCACTCTGAGCGTACCACTCACGAAGCTGGCGAGGCGTGAGAGACACGCGAGAGGGTCGCGGGAGCTGCATCTGGCCGCCACCACGAGTAGAAGCAGCAGGAGTGGTAGTAGGAGTAGCGCCGCCACCCCTACAGCCCCAACCAGCGTACCACTCACGCAGCTGCTGGGGCGTGAGGGACTCACGCAGGCGTCGCTGGGGCTGCATCTGGCTCCGGAAGTAGAAGCAGGAGCAGGACTAGCAGCAGGAAGGCAGGCAGCCAGGCAAGCCAAAAGGCAGGCAGGCAGGCAAGCAGGCGACGCGCAGCGTGCTAGCAGGGCAAGAGCTCACCAGTGGTGGGAAGAGTAGGCTCGGCGACTCAGCGGCTCGGCAGCTCGGCGGCTCGGCGGCTCGGGCGACTCGGGCGGCTCGGCGGCAAGGCGGCTCGACAGCAACTGCAGCTCAGCAGCTCGGTGACGCGGCGGCTCGGCGGCAGGGCGGCTCGGCATTAACTGCAGCTCAGCAGCTCAGCGACCCGGCGGCTCGGCAGCAGGGCGGCTCGGCTGCTGGGGGGCTCGGGTGCAGGGCGGCTCGGCGGTGGGGCGGCTCGGCTGCTACAGGTGAGCGGCTCGGCTGCTGCAGTGGGAGATGAAGGAGGAGGAGAAGCAGGGGAGGCCACACACCTGACACCCCTCTGCTGGCCCCCCGAAGGAGCCGCGACGGGCGACGGGAAAAGGGGGGGGGGGTGGTGGGGGCCGGTAGGTGCAGCGGCGGGGCCAGCAGGTGCAGTTGCGGGGCCAGCAGAAGGGGACGGCAGGAGCCGTCAGGAGGGGACGGCGGGGCCGTCAGGAAGGGACGGCGGGGCCGTCACGAAGGGACGGCGGGGCCGTCAGGAGGCGACCGGGCCGCGAAGGGGCGGCTGGGCCGGGATGGGGCAGGGCCGCGACGGAGGCAGGCGGCGGGGCCGCGTAAGGGCCTGGGCGGGGCCGCGACAGAGCCGTCAGCGGGGCCGCGTGAAAGCCGGGGCGGGGCCGCGTAGAAGCCGGGGCGGGGCCGCGCGAGAGCAGGCGACGGGGCCGCGAAGGAGCTGGGGCGGGGCCGCGTGAGAGCAGGTGGCGGGGCCGCGTAAAGGCCGGGGCGGGGCCGCGACAGAGCCGGCGGCGGGGCCGCGTGAAAGCCGGCGACGGGGCCGCGTAAGGGCCGGCGGCGGGGCCGCGTCAGAGAAGGCGGCGGGGCCGCAGGGGAAATGGCGACCCGAGGGGTCGCTAAAAAAAATCGCGCCTCGGGGGGCGCTTCGGTGGGCCCAAAAAAACGGTCCTTAGAAGGACCCGCTCTATACCATGTCAGAATCCCAACCACTAGACCATTGGGATAAAAGGGCTTTTTTCAGTAGCGGGTCAGTGCGCCCATAACCCCCCAGGCAAACGCGCCTGTAACCCCCCCTAGGATCGATCGGGGATCTCACAGTGTAGCTCTACTGACACCCCCCCACACTGGGAGGCCCAGGACTGAGCACAGTAGCAACGACCAACATGTGCATACACCGGGATTCGAACCCGAGACCGCTCTGATACCATGTGATAATAAGCAAACAGGAATGAAATGACTAAGTCAGGGTTGGGTACAAATACAACCCTAGAAAGCTGTACCCCATATGTGCTACCCCACTATAGCCTACAAACATGCATCAGCTATAGTAATCTGACAGCCAACACTGCTGATGTCTTCACCAAGGCACTTGCTCCTTGTGATCATCTGCGTTGCTGCACGCAGCTGGGTCTTGTGCCTGTCTTGCCTCACTTGCTCACTTCTTGACCTTGCTTGTACCTTGACCTATATATATACTCTTGCTCTTGCTTGCTTGACTCTTGTATATCTCTATATATGATCTTGCATGTGAACTGGCCTTGTGGCCCTTGACCTTGCGCTCGGAATGTGTGGTGACTTTGTGATCCACCCTGAGCTTTGCTTTGCTTTGCTTGACTGGTCTTGTGACCCCTTGTTCTCCCCCACTTTGCCTATGGGGGTGTGTCAGAACATTATAGCTTATATATTTGTGTAGGCTATAGTGGGGTATCCCATAGGGGGTTCAACCCAATCAGGGTTTCATATTTGTACTCACTTCATTCATAGTTCATCCATTCTCGTTCGCTTCTTCTCAAGGAGCTCAAACTGAAACATGACAAGAACGTGGGTGAGGCCAAATGGCCTCCAACCTCTCATTTGTAGCCAAAAGAGGGCGAGTAGCGATGCAAACGCTGCCTTCGCTGCGTTGGAAATCGTTTCACTATCACGATACAATTTTTTAGAAAGTGAATACTCTGTTAAGAAATCTCATGTTTAAAAACCAATTTTTATTTTCACCATTTACGGCGCATGCGCTTAAACTTATTACTCAATTACGGTACAAGCGCACCCTGTTTTGTCATAACCACACTTGCGCTTATATCCGGAGCTATACAGCAGTTAGCCCTCGCTATCATATTTCGAACACCATCACAGGTGTACCTCCCATCACTGCCATGTGATCGCAGACATATAGGCACAGCTGGCAGTTGCACACATGCCCCACCCCAGGCAAAACCTGTGCGCTGCCCGGTTGGGTAGCATGCACAAGACCAGACTTCTGTAGTGACTGCTGCGTACGTAATTTACAAGAACCATATAACAATTACGAGCACATCCACATCCCAACCAGCACATCCGCTACAAGCTGACTTTCCACCCGCCAACAAAACGAATCCAAACTTCCACCATTGCCACTCATGTTGCTGATGGTGCTGGTGGCGCGCTCAATTGCATGCAACAACCCATGCTTAGAACCTGGCATTGTAGCTTTCCCCAGAATGTAGATGGGGGGATGCACGATGCTGATCTTGGTTTCCTGGGAGGAGGAAGAGGCGGGCCGAGCCAGGTGACCCAGGTGGCTTTGAACGATGGTTTTAGTCGGGCTGATTGGATGAACCCAAAGTTGCGCTTGCCACCTCCAGGAATGTACTGCGCCCACGAGGGCAGAGAGCATGAAACAACCTGCAACCACAGGGCAGCACAAGAATCATGTCAACCAAAGGACATTGCTGTGGAAGGCTTCGACTTGTAAGGTCATTCTAGCCCCATTCCCTGCCCCAGCCCCTGCCCCAACCCCTTCACCATCCCCTGCTCCATCCTCAGACCTACCCCACTCACCCACTGACCCCGCTCCCGCCCCTCTGGCTCTCTCTCCTCGCTCCAGCCTTCCACTTTGTGCTGCCCACCTCAAAATTCCACGCATTGAAGGGCTCGAAGTTGAAGCACGCAAGGGCGACGTCGCGCACAGCAAAGGAGGCGTTGGTGTTGCACACGTCGCAGCTCCACATGTTCTGTTGCTCCCCGTACTGCTGCCAGCTGCCCGTCACTGCACACGTCACGTTCACCAGGCTCAGTGGTGCTGCTCAGCGCACACACACGCACACACCCATATGCACGCAAAATCGCATGCGCACGTGCACCAACGCACACACACACGCATGCACACACACATGAACACACATAAGTACACACATAAACAGGGATAAGAGGAGAAAATACAATGGAGGGTTTGTTAAGAGCGCAGCCAGTGCGCAAATCAAGGTGCCTCCCATACCACAAAGCTTATCAACAGCAGCAGCAGACAAGCAGTATGAGCAGGCCACCGGCTGCCAGCTACCGCGAGCATCTCACCAGACACAGGAGCAGGCGGTGCCCTGGGGATCGTGGACTTGGGTGGCGGGGGGCGCTTGCCCTTGGGTGGAGGAGGGGAGCGGGGAGCGGGGGGGGAGGGGGGGGACGGGGAGGCGAGGGGGAGGGCGCCGGCGGCGAGGCGGGCGAGGAGGCCGACAGCGACGGCATTGGCTGCGGCTGAGGGCTCCGTGAAGGCTGGGTGCAGCCGTGAGTCCAGAAAGCCATCGGTCTGACGGGCGGGCAGGGAGGGGAAGTGGAAGGGGGGCGGGGAGTTGCAAGGAGCGGATGGGAAAGGGAAGTGCAGCCTTGCATCCAGAAAGCCGACGGTCTGGCCACAGGGCAGGGCAGGGGCACCAGCCAGAGGGATGAGAAACAGGCTAGCAGAAGATAGAGAAGCATTTGTGCACGGACATGCTTCCACACAGGTATGCACATGCTCATAACTGCATGCACAGTCAAAAGTTCTCTATGCATCCCCTCATGCGTTGGCCTTCCTCCCCAAGCACGACTCACAGGGTTGCCTCCACAAAAACAGGCAGAAAGCAAGAAGCAATGAAGGCCCACTCCACACCACGACGACTCACGGCGTTGCCCTCCCCTCCCTCTCCCCCCCGAGCCCGACTCACGGCGTTGGGGCCGCCAACAATGGCGCCAACGAGCACGTTGGGGTTGGGGGAGGCGCTCTGCAGGTACGTGGTGTTGCCGCCCTGGCAGGTCACTGGCGACGGGTCCGTGTTGAATGAGATAATGGACGCCGCCCGGTGGTGCACCTTCTGGGGGAAGGCGGTGCCAAAGCCGACCATGAAGGAGACGGCGAGCGGATTGCTGCCCAGCAGATAGTCCACCTGGCAGATGGGAGGGGGAAACAGAGGAGGCAGCGAAAGAGGCATGGGGAATGGTGGGTCATTCGTGTGCTGCCCAGCAGGTAGTCTGCCTGGCGGAGAGGAGAGGGGGAGGGGGAGGGGGAGGTTCGAAGCAAGGGAGGCAGCATGCGAGGCATGAAGAATGGTGGTCATGCGTGTTCAGCAGGTACCCGATCGCCATGCCAGTGCACTGCAAGGCGAATGCGTATGCAGGGGTTCTGCAGGGCGCATGCGGTTTGTGCTTATGCGGTCCGTGTGCATGCGTGCATGCAGGCATGGTGGCGGACTGACCTGGGACTGGGCGAAGGCGGTGATCTGGGAGGGCGAGAAGGAGACGCCTTGGCAGTCGAGGGAGCGGGCGGCGGCAGCGAGGAAGTCGGCGAGCAGAGCGAGGAGGAAGGCGGAGGAGAGGGCGAGCTGGGCGTTGCTGCCGCGCACATACAGCAGCCCGGACGGCGTGGTGTAGACGGCTCGCAGGGGGTTGGCAGGCATGTGCGCACACGCATACACCTCGGCCATGCCTGCATACCCCTCCACCACCCCCATTATCGCTGCACTCCCCTGGATGCTCGCCGGCAGCCCCGCCCACAGCGCCTGGTGCCCGGGGGGGAAGAGAGGAGCGGGGGGGAAGGAGGGAGAGGGGTTGGGCGTGAGTTGGAGAGGTGGTGCTGTGCAGACGGAGGTTAATGCGGCGTGGAGGCACAAGGTGCGGGTTCAATGAAGCACAACTGCTTCTAACCCCACCAGCACCATCCCTCCCCATGGCGAGCAGCACTGACCTGTGCGAGCAGCAGTTGCGCGCCGGGCAGCGTCTGGTCCCAACTCATCTCCGTGTGCATCTGCTGCGTCCCCCCAATGGCCGCCTCATTGCGCTGCACATACTCCAAATACCGCCTCAGCCCCGTCGCCCTGTACAGCCATGCCGCCGCCCACGCCAACTCGTCCTGCATTCCACGCATGGGAGGGGGCAGGTAGGGTGGTGCGAGGAAAGAAATTATTTGGGAAATGTCACCGTTGGGAAGCAAGGAAACAGTGAGGCTGGAAGGCAACTGCTGTTGGTAGGTTCACCAATGGCAGAATGCTAACAAGGATCTACTGGGAAGCTGTGTGCCAACACCTAACTCTGTGACCCCTTTGCTCTCACTTCCTTACTCCATGAATCAATTCTTAATACTGATCAGTCCTCACCTCTATTAATTCCTCCCTCTACCTCTGGTACACACAAGCACTCCCTTATTCTTATCCCTTCCATTTTATCTTTCTCCCAAGCTCTTCTGCTAGTTCCTGCGTCTTCCAGGGTTTCGGGTTTAGTCCCTCTATCATTTTATGTTGTCTAGCATCCACTTTAAATGGCTGAAAACCAGCTAGCCGTTTTTTCTTGATACCATGGTTGAAGCTGCTGCTGCTTGCACGTCCCTATCGTTCCTTACCTTCAGAATCACACTTCGAATGACTAATGTTCCCGCTCAACAACTGCAGCCACACAGAAACGGTGCACTACATAAAGTTGTTGAGCAGGAACATTAGTCATTCGAAGTGTAATTCTGAAGGTAAGGATCGACAGGGGCGTGCAAGCAACAGCAGCTTCAACCATGGTATCAATAAGAACGGCTAGCTGCCTCTCAGCCTTAGTTGACATTTTACGTTTACGGGGGTTTACGTGTACGTGACTTTACGTAGTAAACTTACGTTTACTTACGTGGGCCCAAAACAGCTTTACGTTTACGGTCAGCCAGAAACATTTCTGATTGCCCGGAAAGATAGGAAATCATCGGATTAAGCGGCTGCATGGGAAGCGCCTAATCAATCACTAGCTTGGTTCTTCTATGCCCAAGCATGTTTGACATTATTACATCAACTTACAGATGCCCCAAATCTACACCGACATGTCACAGCCTCTCCCACCTCATATCAGTCAGGTTTTTCCATTTCGCAGGCAAAAAAAAACTTTTTTGCCCTGCCCCTGCAACTTTACGTAATATTACGCGTAAGAAAACGTAAAGGTAAACTCAACGTAAGTTTACGCTTTACGTGACCCTAAAAAACGTAAAGTACCAACTAAGCTCTCAGCCATTGGTGTGGTTGTCCATAGTCCATATCGTTGTGGTTGTTTGTTTAAGGGTGTCTAGTTCATATGATGCTAACCTGTAGTGTAGACTATGATGCATGCTGTGCACTGCATGTCGCGTTCTGCATGCTGCGTGCTGCATTTTGAGCGCTGCATTCTGCGCACTGCATGCTGTGCATTGCTCACCGTCTAAGTTGGAAAAAAACGTTTCGCGTTTAGTACGCTTTCGTATAAACGCTAGCGTCTAAACGCAAAACGCTGGCCGGGAGGGGTCTGGTACGCACAAGAATCCGCTTGGCCGGGCAGGAAAAAAAAATTCCCCGGGCAGGTTAGATGCTAGGCCAAGAGATGGAAACGGGAGCTGCTGTAGTAGGTCATTGTCGCAAGTAAAATAAGAAGGGGAGGGAGGAAGAAATCGAACGCAAAGATTATCGAAGGGAAAATCGGCCTGACATTGAGTGGGGAGGATGAGCCCGGTAGAAGTTGGCAACAGATTGGATGGGGTTGGAGTGGGTTGTTGAGTGGTGGATAGGAGGGAAGACCTCGCCCGAATCCCTCTGAGGACCCCCTTTCGCCCCTGCGGGTTTTCCTCGGAGGGATTTTCGTTTTCCCTCTGTCGCGTGGCGGGGCACGCGAGGGGCGGGAGCCAGCCAACCCGCCCGCCCGAAACGAGCCACGCCAGCTCAGAGTGACGCGAGGTGGTCCTCGCTCGAGCTGGCGTTGACCCCACGTGCTCCCCCCGGTCTGCACCAACCCCGCCTGCACCAACCCCCCTGTCCGTCGAGTAAATCCGCCTCCGTCGACGGATTCCGTCTCGACCCGACGGAAAGTGGTGCAGAGAAAAGCGCGGCAGAACGCGCCACAGACCAGTTCGATACAGAGCACAGCTGACACTGAAATAAAAGCGTATACCTAAACAAATAAATACATAAACTGCAATGGGCAAACTTGATAAGGAATAGGAGGCACAAAAAAAGGGGGCATTCCCTACAATTCTCATTAATACTTATATCATCAATTTTAATCTTATTCATGCGCAGGTGCCAGGTAGAACACCTGTCGACGGTTTCGCTCGCTACCCGTGCGCCGTAGAGCAAGTGAATATGAACTTAATGAGAATGCATTCTTGTACCACCGGGGCCAGCCTTTCTAGCACGCTGCAGGGACCGACTCAACCGACTACGAAGACGAGGGGTCAGGCGTTACTTTCACCGACCAGCTCGGCGCTGCTTGGTCGAACAGCATTCGCCGAGACCAGCTCGTCGAGCACAGCACGCCGAGCAGTGCCCATCGAAGGGTTTCGTTGACCACTAATGTGCATTAGCAATGCACGTCGGAGTCGTCGACTGGATCCCGTCGAGCAGAGCCTGCGACAGCATTTTTGTCGTCGACCGTCCCGTCATCGACATAAAACGAAGTGTTGTCGAAGAGAGTTTGAAAACCAATCACTGCCATAGGTGAACTACCAATCTTTTCAGGTAGTGTAAAAATCATACAATTTGGAAAGCTATAGTTTGTTGAATATGATGTTTTTTTTGTATTTATTGCATAGAAAAATATGGTCTGTTCGACGGGGTAATTAAATGCAGCTGCCAAACTCTACTACAACAATAACATTGCTTGTGTCGATTGTCTACGTTCACGATATGTATTAACGTATAGTAAAACTCGAGCATTGTTGATTAGTTATGTGGTTGTGAGTCTCGATGCTACAAAGAGAAGTGAAACAGGGTGCTGGCGGCGATAAATAAACTTCTCGACCGCTTTTCTCTGTCTGTCGAAATCTTTCGTTTTGACGAATGGGGAGAATGCGCAGCTTGACAATTTTCGCGTCGAATGCAGATGCTGACTTGCCAAAATCTAGAAACGGCTTCTGCTGTCGATAATCAATTTCATCGAACAACGTCTCGGAAATTTTGTTTTCCCGACTGTGAAATCAGAACCTTATCGAATGAGTTTCCCTATTCGACAGAAAGTAATGCAATACTGTTTCAACAAAAATATGAAAGTGCAGGGGCAAAGTTTTTCAATGTGCTTTGTCGAAACGTTTAGCGGAATCCCTAAGTACTGTCGAACATCCCGGGAGCACCTCTTGTCGAACATCACATTTGAGTTTTCGTCGAAGAAAAAATATTTGCCGCGAATTTGAAATGTTGTCGAAGGCGAACACCCTTTTAATGCCAACTAGGGCTCTGTCGAAGACAGGAAATTGCAAAACTGAAGTATTAACGCCCTTCCTTCGAGAATTGACACATTGTCGACGGAAATACCCCTTCCGCCGACGGAACACGTTCGAGGCGAACCGAACAATTTTTTTTTTTTGCCAAAATTGTTCGGGGCGAACGTGTTCGGTGTTCGCCCGAACACGTTCGCCGTTCGCCCGGCTCAGCTGGGCGAGGCGCGACGAACACGAACGTGTTCGTGATCGACACGGGCCTTCGACGAACGCCAATGTGCTCGTCGACGAATAGGCCCGCGACCAATTTTTAGGGCGCGGGCCTTGGTGTTTGGGCTCAGATCAAGGCCTTTTGCCGTTGCTTAAGTGCGGATCAAGGCCTTTTGCCGTTGCTTAAGCGCGGATCAAGGCATTTCGCCGTTGCTTAAGCTCAGATCTAGCATTTCGCCGTTGCTTAAGCGTAGATCTAGCATTTCGCCGTTGCTTAAGCGTAGATCTAGCATTTCGCCGTTGCTTAAGCGTAGATCTAGCATTTCGCTGTTGCTTAAGTGCGGATCAAGCATTTCGCCGTTGCTTAAGCTCAGATCTAGCATTTCGCCGTTGCTTAAGCTCAGATCTAGCATTTCGCCGTTGCTTAAGCGTAGATCTAGCATTTCGACGTTGCTTAAGCGTAGATCTTAGTTGGTATTGTACGTTTACGGTGGTTTACGTTTACGTGACTTTACGTAGTAAACTTACGTTTACTTACGTGGGCTAAAAATGGCTTTACGTTTACGGTCAGCTAGAAACAGTTCTAACTGCCCGGAAATATAAGAAATCATCGGACTAAGTGGCTGCATGGGAAGCGCCTAATCTATCACTAGCTTGGTTCTTCTACGCCCAAGCATGTTAGCACATTATTACATCAACTTACAGATGCCCCAAATCTACACAAACATGTAGCAGCCTCTCCCACCTCATATCAGTCAGGTTTTTTCGTTTCGCGGGCAAAAAAACTTTTTTTGCCCTGCCCGTGCGACTTTACGTAAAATTACGCGTAAGAAAACGTAAAGGTAAACTCAAACGTAAGTTTACGTTTACGTGACCCAAAAAAACGTAAAGTACCAACTAAGGCGTAGATCTAGCATGGGCGGTTCTAGCAGGGCGGGACTGGCTTGCGGGGTGGGGGGAGGGAATGTGAAACATTTGGATTTCACTCTAGTTGGATCTGAGAAGGTCCTTTAAGGCGAACGCGAACATGTTCTGGGCGAACGTGTTCGTGTTCGCCAAAACATACGAAATGTTCGCCTCTCTTGGCGAACTTCGAACACCCTTTCTGGTGTAAAGTGTTCGGCGAACCGAACAGTGTTCGGTTCGCCGAACAGCCATGTTCGAGCCCAGGCGAACACGAACATGTTCGTGTTCGCCATTTGCTCATCCCTAGCGTATATACGATACGCGTATATACGCTATAAGCGTATTTTGCAACTTAGCTTTGTGCCAGGGCGGGCGGGGCGGCACGTGCTGACGTCACCCGTGTGTATATAATAGGGTATGATCCACCAAACAATCTCGACATTTAGATCTGAAGTTGCATTTGCAATGCGCGAACTCAGGCCTGAATTTCGAGACTCACATTTGACTTCGCCACATCGCGAGCTCAAGTAATGGATTTTTTTTTTTCGGTCAGCATGAGCAAAATTGGCGAATTTTAGAGAAATCCGCAGCATACAAATTCTAGATGCGTATAAACTCAATACAAGCTCCCCAACTAAGCTCACCGTGTAGCCCGTTTAATACAAGCTCAATACAAGCTCAATACAAGCTCCCCAACTAAGCTCCTCAAACCAACCAAGCTCAATACAAGCTCCTCAACTAAGCTCAATACAAGCTCCCCAACTAAGCTCACCGTGTAGCCCCAACTAAACTCAATACTATAAACTTGGGCTTTTTCCAACTAAGCTCACCGTGTAGCCCGTGGAGGGGAACTTGAGCGCCGCCCCAGGGACGACCGTGCTGTACACACCGCGGTACTTGTCAGCAAACACAAACAGCTGGTTTGGAGAATGGGGGGAGAGTAGAGTTGAGGGGGACGAGAGGCTGGAGGAGAGTAGGGATGCATGCGGTGGGATGGCAGAGGAAGGGAGAGGAGGAACTAGAATGCTGCAGGCAGCTGGCGGGTGGAGGAAGACTATGAGTGCACAAGGAAGGACGCAGCATCACGGACACCATATCCAAATGGGGCTACTCCTTGGCAGTCCTGCCCCACACCACTCTGACAAACATAAGGGCGAAACCAATCTCCTGTACGTTGCGCAGTCTGGTAACCCAGTCCCAAGCCGAGACATGTCCGGACGTCAGCTGGCGATCTACATTCAACACGCCTTTGAATCGCCGCCTCTACCGCATCACAAGCCATAGCGGCCATAAAACACCCAGCCCCCCTGACAGACCTGCTGCGCGTGGGCGAGGCAGGAGGCGGCGTACGAGGCGTTGGCGTCTCGGAAGGCGAGGGAGGCGGCGGCGAGGGCGGCGGCGGATTCAGCGGCGAGGTCGGATCCGGGGCGGGTGGCATTGATGCGGTACGCCGTGCGCGATGTGCTCATGTCCTCCGGCCGCTGCCAGCACGCCCCGTCCGTCACCACGTCGCCCACCTGTCACAACCCACGTGCACGCACCGCACCCAGACAAACCAGTGGGCACGCGTGGACGAAGTACAAGGTTAGAGCTTACAAGCGGCTTCACCAAGTGGTTCATCCCCCGAGATGCATGAAAGAAGAATCCAGTCGGTGCAGGCAAGAGCGGTCGCCTGACCTTGCCACCCCACTTGGCCCTACACCCCTCCCTTTCTCCCCCCGCATCCCCCTCTTCTCCGAACGCACCCCTCCCTTTCTCCCTTTCTCCGCCCACCTGCGCCCACACCCCACCCTGTCCCCCCCCCAACCACCTGCGGCCACACCACACCCCCCTCTTCCCCCTTCACCTGCGCCCAGAGCTGCCCACCTGCGCCCAGAGCTGCCCACCTGCGCCCAGAGCTGCCCACCTGCGCCCAGAGCTGCCCACCTGCGCCCAGAGCTGCCCACCTGCGCCCAGAGCTGCCCACCTGCGCTCAGAGCTGCCCACCTGCGCCCAGAGCTCCTCGGGTTTGGTGTGCGCCTTGATGAGGTAGTCCGTCGCCCACCGCAGCGCGTCGCGCGCGCCGGAGAGCTGCGCGGTGCCGCCCGCAGCGAGGATGTGGCGGCCAAAGTCAACGAGGCTCCACGCGAGCATGGTGGCGGCGAACGCCCCCGGCAGCCCCGCCTTCACGTTGCTGCCGCCCTCGTAGTACCCCCCGCGCAGATCCACCTGCGCGCACGGGGGGCGGGGACAGGACGAGGGGGGAGCGGGTTGGGCGGGGAAGGGACGGGGGCGGGGAAGGGGGTGGGGGGAGCGGGGGTGGGTTCAGGGAGTTAGGGAGCGGGAGGGTCCTGGTCCAGCTTGGAGGAGCGAAAGACACGCGCCGCCAAGATGAGGGAAAGGTCGGCGGTGCATGCGAGTGAGTGAGATGGGTGTGGGGAACGGCTCTTTTTTCCATGTAGCTACACAAGCCGCGCAGGTCGATAGTTACCCCTTGCGCGGTGCCGTCGGAAAGACCGGAATTGCCGCGCCACGAGATGGTGGTGGGAATAGCCGCGCCCGTGAGCTGCCCCGACCGCTGCGCCTCGAAGAACAGAATCGCCTTCGCCATCGCGTCGCCGTAGTCCACCGCCGCGACGGCGCCTTGAACGCCCTGACCTAACACGAGCACCACGAGTAGCAGCGCCAGGGCGCCACAACAGCCGCTTGTACTTCTACTAGACATCCGCGCGTCTTGCGGTTTACGTGCGTGGCTGCTGCCGTAGCGCCGATTCGCTGCGTCTCGACGACCCATAATCCCTACGTCCGCGATTTACTGGGGTTGAACGGTTCACCGGTAGTAGTGTTATGCGTCCGTTAAGCGCTGGAGTGTTCGGCGGGCCGTCGAAGGACGTTGTGCGAGGTAGACGCGACGAGACACGGCGGGACAACTGCGGGAATATTTCGAAGTGGACTACCCTACCCTACCGAATACCGGGCTTCCGTCAAGCTATGTCTCTAAAAACGTGCACGCCCTCTTCGAAAAAGATGACGGTTGGACTTGAGTGACGGCGAGGCTCGCATACCATCCCACAGACAGGGATTCGGTCTGCAAGCAAACCTGATTTAAAGAAAAGGCTTGGTCGTTTACGGCTCACGGCTGTTTACAGACTGCCTTCACCTCATGCTGGCTGGATGGCGCGCTTCTGTGGTATTCTTCTCCAGGATGGGAAGGTTTGACCTGATCAACGTGCTGTGCGTCGGGACTACGGCAGCAGAGCTAAATATGTCTCTGGAACTTGCTCCAATAGCTGGCTGGCTGGATGGCCCGCAGGAGTGTAACAACAGGGAAACTTTCGTTCTGGAAGGGTAGGTGCAGGTGCTGTGCGGTGTTGACCAATCGAAACAGCAGCGCTTCACATTACTGCACCATGGGGGTGGTGAGAAAGCGACAGAAATCGAGTGTGGTATGGTGGTTCACCGAGCCCTCGCCAACTTTAATACTGTACCACCAATTTTACACCCATGGGTAATGTTTCCTGGTTTACCCGAACCGAAGGGTTGTTTAGAGGCATTCGTTTCCGAAGAGGAGAATGTTCCACACTGTTCATACGAGCTTGGGGACAAAAGCATGTCGCGATTAAAAAAATTGCCCGATACCCTGTAATGACTGTGATATTTTCTACAGATTTCGATGTGAAAACTTCGCCATACAGTACATGGAAAGTGCATTTTTTTGGGGTTCTTGATGGTGTGGGGTGGTGTGTTGATGGCCAAGAAGAACCAATAATACCTGCTCGGCTACTGTCAAATAGCCGAAGCGCAGCTGACCGCGTCGCTCCAGCCCTCGAATCAATCACAAGGCGCTTGTCGGCAGCCCTTTCTGGCAGGAGGCTCTTCAGAAGAAAAAACGCGGTGAAATGTACAATCATCTCCCTCCACCAGTTTGGCACAATTGAGCAGATACAATCATTTCCGTTTACACATTTCGAGAGACAAGCATTTTGTAAACACCTACTACATATGATAACTCAAGGCTTCCACTACAACACCTCCAAAGCAACTGCTTCTCTCATCCCAACTTCAGAAGTGTACATATCCGCGTCTCTGTACAATGACTAGTTCAGTTTCGTTGTACCGTTTGGCCCGAGATAGTAGCGCATATGCGCTTACAATAAATTTGGTTGAGTATCGGCCATAAGTGCCGGCGCCTGTATAATGTCGAAAATGAAATTTGTTTTCAAAGGTACCAAACTGAAGCCCTCAATTAGACGAACACACCTGTGACGTTCACGTGGGATCATGCATGGAATCTCGGCGAAACCTGCCGCGATTTCCCACCCAGGCCCCTAGATTGGTTTTGGGATATGCTGAAAAATTAGAGTTCATTAGCAAATGTACGCTGAAAATCAGCCAAAAATGGCATTTTTCACTAATAACCACTAGAAAATCACCAAGTTTCTTGGGGAAAAGGCTGACAAATCAGCCTTGGTATAGAAAAAAGGCTGAATCAGCGTAAAAAGGATGAAATCTAGGGCCCGGTTCCCACCGCACAAAACCCGCCCCAGAGCAACGACCTGCCAACAACGGCACAAAACCTGCCGTGCGGGCCAATCAGGTTGTTATGCGCTGCCAGGCAGGAGCATTTCATCCGAACCCTCTAGAAGGGGGTGGAATATGCCCTGCCAGCGCAGCATGTATAGTATCATGAACCCTGCTCTGCGGGTTAAGGCAGGGGAGTACCCGTCTCTCATTGACCGCTAACACGAAGGGGTCCCCTCCAATCTTTCATTTCTTCACCCATTCTTTCAGTTTCTCATTCAGTTTCCAATTCTCGCCTGCCTGGCTGCGAAAGCCATGGCGGAATTCATCGGCACCCACTTTTTGTTTAAAAAGAAGCCTACCAGTAGGCACGCGTATAGAATTGTCGCTGACGGGTGGTATTCCCGTATCCCACCAGAACCACCAGAGCCACCTCAGCCTCATGCGCCACCTGCACCGCCTGCTTCTCCTGCTCCTCTCGCGCCTCCTGCGCCTCCTTCTCCTCCGAATCCGACTTTTTCTCACCAGGGCAACCAGCCCGAAGATTGCACGTGGGACAAATCTGCAGTCGGCGCTGACGACGATGTGGCAGAAGCCGACGAAGAGTGGCCTGCTTAGCGTGGCAGCGGCGCCGAGGCTGGCACAGAGACTGGAACCGAGGCTGGCACCGCGGCCGATGTGTTTCTAGAGGGTGCCCCGGGCGGCGACGACGACGACGACGGTGTCGAATACTGGTCTCGCGATGGACTCCCCGAGAAACTACCAATACCGTCTTATCCTCCAATAAACCGCAAGCGACCCCACCCTTCTGCTGAGAACCGTGATGTCCCCCCCCCCCCCCCTGCACTCTTTCCAGGCACAAGGTGAACCAGCATAAGCGTCAGGCTTATAATGCTCAAGAGAAATTGCAGTGGATCGCACGGCTGGATGTGGCGGTGTCGGTGCGCGCGTTGTCTCGCGAAAGTGGCATCCACCGCAAGATTCTCACGGAGTGGAAGCGAGCCGCCGACTTCCTCAAGGAAGCTCACTCTGCACGGAAGCGCATGCAAGGCCGCGGGAGGTCTTCTTGGTACCGCCGGATAGAACTGAAGGTGAACGAGAGGCTACATGACTGGCGCCGCAAAGGAACCGCCGTCTCCGTCGGCCGTCTGCAGGAGTGGTCGCACGAATTCATTTAACTACTCTGCCCCCTCATGAAGTGGAATGGCAGCCAAAGGTGGTCGGACCGGTTTCGGAGGCGGTGCAATCTGAGTGTCCGCATGAAGATGAAGGTTGCCCAGAAAACTGGCACCCGTAAGAATAAATTTCGCGTTAGTCTAATGATTGGTTTATTGCTGTAGATGTACTAACTTATACATCTCCCCTTCACTCTGTGTTTCACAGATGTCGCGGAGCAATGCCAAAATTTCTGGCAGTACGTCCATGACAAGCGTCGTGAGTGTGACATCGAGACAATGTGGATGATCAACGCGGTCTAGACGCCGTTGTGGCTGGAGATGCCCGCCACCACTACCGTGGACGCCGAGGCTGTCATTCGATGGCTTGAGGAGTTCATCAAGCCTTTCCTAAGGCCTCGGTTCGGCAGGCAGGCGAGGAGCTCGATGGTGGTTCTTGATTCCTACCACGGTCACCTCACTGAGGGGGCGAAGGCGAAATTCGCCGAGCTCCACATTGTGTCAGCGGTGATCCTGGCGGGCTGTACAGTGGAGATTGAGCCCCTTGCCATCTCAATCAACAAGTCCTTAAAGGTCTCTGTCCAGTAGCAGTACCAGAAGTGGTTTGAAGAAGAGGGCCAAGAGCGACTCACAGTAGCAGGCAAGATATCAACGGACCATATGCGAGCTTTTTTATCAATGGACCCTAAACCCTTCCTCAACTATGGCATCAGCAACACGCTTGAGGGCAATGAGGACGGGCAACCCATGGCGCACAGGCGGAGCCAGTTGAAAGCGGAAGTGGACGTCGATGATGACATCATCGCTGATGGCTTATTTTGCAACAACTGCCAGGAGCCCGAGTCGCACGAGGAGTAGATCCTAGGTAGAAAGTGTCAAAGTTATGTTATATAGCTATTTAGCCTCTAGTGAGTTGCATCCTAGGGGGTGTGAAATTGAACGAGAATGAAATGACTAAGGGAAAGTTGGGTACAAGTACAAACCCTAGAAAGCTGTACCCCATATGTGCTACCCCACTATAGCCTACAGTAGCTATGTCATATAAATCTGACACACCCCCATAGGCAAAGTGGGGGAGAACAAGTGGTCACAAGACCAATCAAGCAAAGCAAAGCAAGCTCAGGGTGGATCACAAAGTCACCACACATTCCCAGCACAAGTTCAAGGCCACAAGGCCAGTTCACATGTAGGATTACATATAAATGTAAGGCTAGACAAGCAAGAGCAGGTGTATATATATATGCAACAGTACAAACAAGGTCAAGGGGTGAGCAAGTGAGGCAAGGTAGGCACAAGACCCAGCTGAGTACAGAAGCGCTGATGATCACAAGGCGCAAGTGCCTTGGTGAAGATATCAGCAGTGTTGGCCTGAGAGGCCACGTACGCAAGGCGCAGCTGACCACGCTGCTGTAGCTCACGAGCAAGGAAGTAGCGGAGAGCAATGTGCTTCGTTCTATGCTCCAGTCTCTGCTCTCGACACAAGGCCAGCATGGCCTTGTTGTCTACGTACCGCACTGGAGGAGAACGAGGCGGCTCTCCGAGGTCAGTCAGCAGGTAGGTGAGCCAGCGAAGCTCCTTTGCAGCCATCGCCCCTGCGTAGATCTCAGCCTCACAACTGGAGCCGAGAATAGAAGACGAGCGGGTAGCCCGCCACGAGACAGAGCCGGAACCAAGGCTGAAGGTGTAACCCTGTGACGACCGCTGCGTAGCCTGGTCGTCAGCCCAAGAAGCGTCCGCGTGCCCAGTGAGGACCACTGGACTCTGCCCTCCAAGCACAAGCCCCATGCCCGACGTACTCCACAAGTAGCGCAACACCCTCTTCGCTGCAGCCATGTGCTCCGGTCTGTGTCTCCCAGGAGCAACATAGCGTGCTAGAATGCTAAGAGGGTATGCAAGGTCAGGTCGTGTGCAGGTCATCAGGTTCATGAGGCAGCCAACAAGCTCTGGGTACGGGCCACTCGACTCTACGGACTCATCCGAAGGCAGAGCTGAGAGCGAGTGGCGAGTAGGCAGAGGAGTGGCCTGAGGC